TGTGTGTGTGTTCCTGCAGTCCACATACACCATAACCTTCATCAAATTCTCAGAGGACTCTGTGACTAAAAAGGACTAGTCGCATTTTAGCTGGGCAATCTCTGATTGAACCTACAACGGTGATCTGATGGCTGCTGTCATTACCTCCTCTCATGATGGGAAGAGCCATTTAGTGCCTCAACCCCATACTCCCATCTCTGGTGGGAATGTAAAATGGTACTACACTCTGAAAATACTTTGGCAAGTTCTTTAAATGATAAACGTACATCTATCTCATGCCATTCCACTGCTAGCTATTTATCCAAGAGGAGGAGAAGAGTATGTTCTTACAAAGACTTGTACAGGCCTCCTTATTTGTAATTGCCAAGAACTGGCAATAATCCAAATGTCTATCAACAGGTGAATGGATAAACCAATTGTGGTAGATAATAAAAAAGAACAGACTTGATACGTGCAACAACATGGATGAATCTCAATTATGCTGAGTGAAAGAAGCCAGAAAAAAACAAAAGAGTACATTTTGTATGATTTCATTTCTATAACATTCTAGAAGATGCAAACTATAGTGACAGAAAGTAGATCAGTGGTTGCTAGGGCACAGGGCTTGGTTTTGAAAGAGGCAGGAAGGAGGGATTGCCAAGGGACATAAGGAATATTTGGGGGGGTGATGGATATTATCTTGTTTCTGGTGATGGTTTCACGGATACCTACAGTGTTAAAAATTGGACACTTTAACATGGAAGCAACCTAAATGTCCATCAGCAGATGAGTGGATAAAGAAGATGTAGTGTACACACATACACACAATGGAATATTACTCAGCCATAAAAAAGAATGAAATAATGCCATTTGTAGCAACATGGATGGACCTAGAGATTATCATACTAAGTGAAGTAAGTCAGACAAAGACAAATTACATATGATATCATTTATATGTTGACTCTAAAAAATGATCAAATGAAATTGTTTACAAAACAAAAACACGCACAGACATAGAAAACAAACTCTTGGTTCCCAAAGGGGAAAGGAGGAGGAGGGATAAATTAGGAGTTTGGGATTAACAGAAACAAACTACTAAATATAAAATACATAAGCAAGGACCTACTGTATAGCACAGGGAACTGTATTCAATATATTGTAATAACCAGTAATGGAAAAGAATCTGAAAAAGATTATATATATATATATATATATATATATACAAAATTGAATCACTTTGCTGTACACCTGAAACTAACACATTCTAAATCAACTATACTTCAATAAAAATGGACACTTTAAATATGTACACTTTATGTCAACATACTTCAATAAAGTTCTTTTTAAAAACAAATAGCAGTATAGGGGCTTCCCTGGTGGCACAGTGGTTGAGAGTCCGCCTGCCGATGCAGGGGACACGGGTTCATGCCCCGGCCTGGGAAGATTCCACATGCCGCAGAGCGGCTGGGCCCGTAAGCCATGGCCACTGAGCCTGCGCGTCCGGAGCCTGTGCTCCGCAACGGGAGAGGCCACAACAGTGAGAAGCCCACGTACCGCAAAAAAAAAAAAAATAGCAGTATATGGTCACTGTAAAAAGTAAAACCTCCAACTCACTTCCTCAAGGAAAAAGGTCTCAAACTACTTATAATATTAAATAGTTGGTGTGAATGTGATCTTTCCTTTGGAGAATTTTTTAATATATATTTTTACTTATTTGGGAGCATATTGTACATATTGTTTTGCTATCTTCTTTTAAAAAATTTTTTACATAGATTTTCATTGATATTAATATCTAGAGCTAAGGGATTCCAAAGCAGGAATGTACTAACATTTATTTAACCATTTCCTTATTGTATGACATTAAGTGGTTTCCAGTTTTCCCCTTTACCAATAAATACAGACACAGCTTAAATTTTTAAGGTACTACCAATATCGTCCATACAGTTTGCACAGTTTGAACTACCAACAGTGTGTGAGAGCACCCTATTCCCTAAATCCTTGCTAACAATGAATTTAATCAATATTTTACATTTTTGCCAACTCGAGGGTATAAAATATTGTTTTAAATTTTCATTTCTCTGATTACTAGTCTAGATGAGCATCTTTTGGTATATTTGTTGGCTATTTGAATTTCTTCTGTGAATTGCCTCTTCGTATCCTTTGCCCATTTTCCATTGAATTGTCTCCCTTTCTTCCTTCCTCCCTTCCTTTTATTTTTTTTTTTTTAGTGTGATGGAGCTCTCTGAAGATGAGAAACCTGTAGAAATGTTTTTAAGTCTCCTTCACCATATCCCTCTTCTTTTTTTGATAATGAACTATAAGGCAGAAATTTTTCAGGTGGGAGGTCACTGGACTTCCAATTAGTCAACAATATTTATTAAATGCTTACTATGTGTCAGACATTCTATAGGCTGTAAGACAACCACGATGAACAAAAAGGAACCTCATACAATCTGATGAGAAGGACAGATACTAAACAATGGTGATAAATAAAACTGAGTGAATTACCACAAATGTGTAAAATTCTGGCTATAGGAAGAACATGGTGTTCAGTGACTCTTCCCTGAGCATGTTTTGCTTTATTGTGCTTCACAGATACTGCATTTTTTTTTTGCAAATTGTAGGTTGGTGGCAACCTTGCATCAAGCAAGTCTGTCGGCACCATTTTTCCAATGACATTTGCTCGCTTTGTTTCTGCGTCACATTTTGGTTATTCTAGCAATATTTCCAACTTCATTATTAGTATATTTGTTATGGTGATCAGTGATCAGTGATCTTTGATGTTACTATTGCAAAAATAATACAACTTGCTGAAGCCTCAGATGATGGTTAGCATTTTTTAGCAATGAAGTATTTTTGTATGCACATTTGTTTAGACATAATGCTACTGCACGCTTAATAAACTACAGTATAGTGTAAACATAACTTTTATATGCACTGGAAAACCAAAAAACTCGTGTGACAAGCTTTCTTGCATTATTTGCTTTATGGTGGCAGTCTGGAACCGAACCCACAATAACTCTGAGGTATGCCTGTATAAGCTGAGGCCTGAAGGGTGAGCTAGCAGAGGGATGAAGAGTTTCCAGTGCAAAAGAAACCCCATGTGCCTAAGAGCCTTCCCAGTTCTAGGGGGTGGAGGTTTGGGGCCACAGGCATTTCATTTGTTCTAAAGTTGGTCATTGAGGACAAAGAGGCCAAACAGAGTGCAGAGGACAGTTTGATTTGGTATGTGGCATTTCACAGAAATACAGAGCCCAAAGCTACCGACAGAGCCTTAAAAACACATCAATGCATTTGCTCCTCAGCGACTGGAAGGGCACTATGCATCTTCCACGCATTTTCCAGGCTCCACACTTAGAGCAACATATACTTTCTATTCGTGTCCTGATACTGCCTTGGCATTGGACAGAGCTGTGGCTGCGGCTGAAATTCGTCCTTCCTACATAGACCTCAGGAAGCATGCACCAGATCCTCCCACCTGCTGAGACTCACATCTGAGGGGGTGGGAAGAACTAAGTGAGCAGGCATTCTAGCTCTTTGCTCCTGCCAAACACAGCAAGTATTTAACAGGATCACACTCCCTTGCCATATGTTCACATAGACATTTATGCACACACATTTTAAAAGGTTTTATATGCATTCTCCTCCAGATCCCTGAAAAATATGACATATAGATGCATATCCTTGACGTGAAAGTTGCCTCAATGCCTGATGCTTTAAGTATTTCCCTAAATTTGAAATGAGAAGTAGAAAGGACTGTTTTCCCTTCATTCCCCAGATTGTCCTTGCTCATTTCAGTAAGATTTCCTACCTTAGTGAGCTTCCTGGCTCACAACTGTTCCCCATTCACCAGGTAGACTGTTAAATGAAATGCTTTGGGCAAGAAAGTGACAACCCAATTCCTGGCAGGAATTTTGACCTAATAAAAACAAGATACACCTTGTTTTATACAACAGATGGACTCTGAAAATGTTAGATATAAACTGACCTTTGGGAAATTGAATCCCCTCCCTTGCCTTATATAATAATTTTGGAGTGGATTTCTTAATTTCTGACCAACCTTCAGGTGTGAGGGACTCCTAACCACAGTTTATGACTTGAGATAAGGCAAAGAAAGACCTTGGGTCATCTCCTCCCCACTTGCAACCTTCTTCCACCAACCTTACAATGACTCTTGTATTAGATTCCTAGTGCTGCTATAACAAAGTATGACAAATTAGGTGGTTTAAAACAATTTACTGTCTCGCAGCTCTGGAGACTAGAAATCCAAAATCAAGGTGTCAGCAGGGCAATGCTCCTTCTGAGACTCTGGGTAGAATTGCTCCTTGCCCTTTCCTAGGTTCTGGTGATGGCTGTCAATCACTGGCTTCCCTTGACTTCCCACTGCATCACTCCAATCTCTGCCCCTATTGTTATGTGGTGTTTGTATTAGTCAGCTTGGGGTGCCAAAACAAAATACCATAGACTGGGTGGCTTAAACAACAGAAATTAATTTTCTTGCAGTTCTGGCGGCTGAAAGTCCAAGATAAGTGCCAGCCTGGTGACAGCTCTCTTCCTGTCTTGGTCTTCTTGCTGTGTCCTCACATGGTAGAGAGAGAGAACTCTAGTATTGCTTCCCCTTATGAGTACTAATCCCGTCATGAGGTCCCCACCTCATGACCTCATCTAAACCTAATCATCTCCCAAAGGACCCATCTCCAAGTACCATCACATTGGGGGTTAGGGCTCCAACATATAATGAATTTGGGGAGGACAGAATTCAGCCATAGCAATGTTCTCCCCTCGGTGTCTCTTCTTATAAGCACACCAGTCATATGGTATTGAGGGCTCATCCTAAGCCAGCATGACCTCATCTTAACCAATTACATCTGCAATGACC